ACACACACACGACACACACACACGACACACACACACGACACACACACACACGACACACACACACGACACACACACACGACACACACACACACGACACACACACGACACACACACGACACACACACGACACACACACACACACGACACACACACACACGACACACACACGACACACACACGACACACACACGACACACACACGACACACACACACGACACACACACACGACACACACACACGACACACACACGACACACACACGACACACACACACGACACACACACGACACACACACGACACACACACACGACACACACACACGATACACACACGACACACACACACGACACACACACGACACACACACGACACACACGCGACACACACACACGACACACACACGACACACACGCGAGACACACACGACACACACACGACACACACGCGACACACACACGACACACACACGACACACACACGACACACACACACACACACACACACACACACACACACACACACACACACACACACACACACACACACACACACACACACACACACACACACACACACACACACACACACACACACACACACACACACACACACACACACACACACACACACACACACACACACACACACACACACACACACACACACACACACACACACACACACACACACACACACACACACACACACACACACACACACACACACACACACACACACACACACACACACACACACACACACACACACACACACACACACACACACACACACACACACACACACACACACACACACACACACACACACACACACACACACACACACGACACACACACACACACCCATTCACCCACCCACCCAACCGCCCACCCACCCACACACACACACACATACAAATACATCCACAATACAATTTACGGCCGCGCTGCAAAATGCAGACCACTGCTTTGACACAACCCATGTGTCGAATGGAACTTTCAGCTGGGTAGCTCTGTTTCGGCTTCCCTTTAAACCAAATCCACACCCAAAAAATATCCTCTTGACTGAAATCTCTATCTTCCGTGGCGTGCAATGTCAGATCGCGCTGATGGTTTTACCTCAAAGCAACACTTTGGATGCCACATCCAACTGTGAAGTTGTCCTGGTGTGCCCTTCTTTCAGCTTACTCATGTTAGAAAGCTCAGCTGCTCTGGCACCTGGCTGCTGTCTCCACCAAATCGTGGATGGCCCCAGGTCACGACAGAACCAGATTCAAGAATGGCAGCAAAAGCGCTGCCAGTTGCTTGGATGTGCTGGACGTTCCTCAACTGCTCTTGCACCTTGCTGCTGTCTCCGCCAAATCGTGGATGGCCCCAGGTCACAACAGAACCAGATTCAAGAATGGCAGCAAAAGACCGCAAAGTTGCTTGGATGTGCTGGACGTTCCTCAACTGCTCTTGCACCTGACTGCTCTCTCCCCCGAGTTCAGGATCACCCCAGGTCACAACAGAGCCAGATTCAAGAATGGCAGCAAAAGCGCTGCCAGTTGCTTGGATGTGCTGGACGTTCCTCAACTGCTCTTGCACCTGGCTGCTCTCTCCCCCGAGTTCAGGATCACCCCAGGTCACAACAGAGCCAGATTCAAGAATGGCAGCAAAAGCACCTTCAGTTGCCTGGATGTGCTGCACGTTCCTCAGCTGCTCTTGCACTTGGCTGCTGTCTCCACCGAATTCTGAATGACCCCAGGTCACAACAGTCCCAAATTCAAGAATGGCAGCAAACGCACCACTGCGAGTTGCTTGGATGTGCTGGACGTTCCTCAACTGCTCTTGCACTTGCCGGCTGTCTCCGCCAAATCGTGGATGGCCCCAGGTCACAAGAGAACCAGATTCAAGAATGGCAGGAAAAGCGCTGCGAGTTGCTTGGATGTGTTGGACGTTCCTCAACTGCTCTTGCACTTGCCGGCTGTCTCCGCCAAATCGTGGATGGCCCCAGGTCACAAGAGAACCAGATTCAAGAATGGCAGCAAAAGCACTGCCAGCTGCTTGGATGTGCTGGACGTTACTCAGCTGCTCTTGCACCTCGCTGCTGTCTCCGCCAAATCGTGGAGGGCCCCAGGTCACGACAGAACCAGATTCAAGAATGGCAGCAAACGCACCACTGCGAGTTGCTTGGATGTGCTGGACGTTACTCAGCTGCTCTTGCACCTTGCTGCTTTCTCCGCCAAATCGTGGATCGCCCCAGGTCACAATAGAACCAGATTCAAGAATGGCAGCAAACGCACCACTGCGAGTTGCTTGGATGTGCTGGACGTTCCTCAGCTGCTCTTGCACCTGACTGCTGTCTCCGCCTTCATCACCCCAGGTCACAGCCTCGCCCCCGTCGCGAAGCCAAGCGAATGCAGAACAAGTGGCAGCCAGTGTGGCAGGCTGCACAACAGCAGCCACCACGTCCCCGTCTCGCAACCCGGCCTCATCCAGCGTGGATGTCAAATCGAGCTGCCTCCCTGTCACAATGAGCTTCAAGCGGCGCTTGAAATGCTGCTGTGCTGCCAGCCTTGAGCTCGCTCATGAGCGTCGCTGGTGACACTGCAACGGGGCAGCCATCTCCACTGGGTAAGTGAAGATTTACCTTCATGGCGCAGGAAGGTTGTCTGAGTGTACTCAGCCTGAAACACAAAAGCTTGCGAAGTGGGGCGTTAGATGAACACTGTCTCAAAGGACCTTCCGATTGGTGAGGGTTGCAATCCTTGGACACACCCGTGCAAGAAGAGATCCTTTACGGGCTGCTCTTTCTGTGAGGACCCTCCCGGAATTCTTTAGCTGGAGCCCGAGATAGTCAAGGAGTTCTTGGCAACCGCAACTAGGTCCAGTAGAGACGATAGAATAAGGGTACCAACTTTTTTCAGGACGTCCATTTTAGTAGGGGAACTCTCACCCAAAAAAGGGTTAAAGGGCACTACTGGGGGACCTAGGCAAGTTGTAGTCAATTGCGAGTGCTTGTATTCTGTATCCCCCCCTTGCAACCAGCAAGCTCACTTCCGATCGAGTGGATTTGCCAGAAACAGTACTCCAACTTTTTTTTATTTACCACTAACATGGTCTTGATAAAATGTTTAAAGTCCATAAACTGAGGGAGTGAATAAATAACACTACTGCCCTAAAACTCAATGTCCGGCCATTTGGGTGTCTTCTTTGATACCCCTTCTCGGGTGTGTTTTAAAGGGACACCCAAAGTTGAACAGCCTTGCGCCATGTTGGGTCGAACTCCTAAAGCCTAAAAAAGACGAGCCACCCGCAAACGGGAAACCAAATGCATGGCAAACAACGCCTATGATTAAAAAGGGCTCCCTAGATGCCCCTTTAAATTATCCCCTTACAATTTAAAGGTCCTTATCCTCCATTTGCTGAAGTCCCCTGGACAAAAAAACATATTTCTCTTGTAATAGATTTCCTTTAAAACCAACAGGGCAAGATAAGGAAAACATATTCATTTCAGAAAATGGAAGTGTATACGGGAGTTTAAGAAACCCAAGAGGTTTGACCAAGGCCCATTCCTGGCCAAAAAGGCGCAGATTCATTTCAGCAAATGTTATCAAAACTCCAAAACCCGGGGCAAGGAGAATCCGATCCGGGCCTCCTCCGCCCGGACGCGGAGGTGCTCCAAGACGCGCTGCTTGAACTCCATGTCGATGTCGTCCATGTCGCCCTCCGCCCACTGGTTTTGAAAACCACCAGCCCCGGAACCTCCAAATAGGTGGTGTTTTAGTAGGTGGTATTTTTAGTGGTATTTTTGTTAGGTGGTATTTTCAATGAAAAGCCTGGGTTTCCAAGGTCCATACCTGGTTTTTTAGTAGAGGAACCAGCTGAAAAAGCCGCTGGGGATCAGCAAACGGACAGGTAAGTGACTTCCACTGAGTTCCAACTCGGTGAGTGGGTTGATAAACCCAGCCAGGTGCGTACCCCCGTAACCTCCAAATACCCACTTCTTTTTCAGGGTATCTTTTGAAAAAACCGATTGGGTTTCCATGGCAAATACCTGGTTTGTTAGTAGAGGCGGCCTCATACCCTAAAATCAAGTGGGTATTGCGTGTAAGAACTGAAGAAGCCGAAGCCGAAACCGGTTTTCCGGGGGAAAAAAAGGAAAGAAAGGGCCGGGTATTTGGAGGGGGGAATGCTACCCCTGGTGGGACTGGAGGTGAGTGCCGAATCGGTTTGCTTCACCTGAACCAATCAGTTGAGTTTAGGGAACGCCGGGTTGGAATCAGACAACTTTTGGAGGAGTCCCAATCATAAACTGGGGTTGATTTTTTTGGGACATTAAAGTTGACGTTGGAAGGGGAGCAAACATTCAGAATTTGGGAGTTAAGTGGATTGATTTCAACCACTAAACCACAATAAGCAAAAATGGAACATGTTTCCCAACAACAACCATGATTCCCCCCAGCTGGTGGTCTGGTTTGTTGGGGAGCCTTCCCTTTGACCCACAAGAAGCAGGGCTTCAAATCGCGAAACCACCAATCCAAGCCACCAACTAAAACTTACCCGAAACAAACGACAAACGAAAGGACGCGTTAAATGCTTTGGACTGGTGAAACAAAATGGATCATGGTATTGGTATAGGTGTGTCTTTTGGTTTTTAGAATTCAGACACCCCAAAATGGTTGATTTCCTTTTGGTGTTCCTTTCAAACCACAAAGAAAGGTGCCCTGAAAAAAGACAGACCCGTTGTGAACATTTGCAAACTGGTATAGGTTTTTCTTGACCATGTCGCGAGATTCTACTTCGATCGACTAGCGCCTTTTTTGACCTGCAATTTGAAACGGGTCGGCTGACGCTAAACTCCACCCGAACGGAGTCGTAAAAAAGAGCCATTCGACTGGCTTCATAAATCAGGTGTTCTGCCGGAACGGAAACGACGGCAACAGGGGCAAACGAGAGCACGTCCGGCGGATTCCTTTGCCCAAGAAAAAGACAAGGGGAGAGATGAAAGCCGCATGAGTCCCGAGGTCCTCCAGTCGAGAGATTAGAATAAGCATACCCTTTTTCTGTTGTCTATTTTACTAGGGGCACCCCCCCCCCCCCCCTCAAAAAAACGGTAAAAGGGCTCTACTGGGGGACCTAGCGGTAGTAAAATGGTCCACCCAGAATCCCGCACCGAGCAAAATTCCAAGGGGATTGTCCCTTACCGGATTATCTACCCGGGTTGGAAGACATGGCTCACATAAGTTTTCACCGGGGACCATCCAATAGAAGATATCCGTTGCCTTAAGACCAGTCGACTCAAGGTGCCCTTGACGCCCCTTTTCTTGGAGGGTGTCAAAACCCTAGCCATGGTCGGTGACCCCCTCATGTTTTCCCTTGTCGCTTTTAAAACCCCCCTCCAAACAAAACGCTTTACAGGGATCCTTACATTGTACACTTGAACATTGCCTTGTAAATGGTGGTTTCCCTTTATTTTGGCGGAAATAGCAACATGTTTCAAATGGGCAAAATGTATCTTTTAAGAAGCTCTGCTTTACTTGGCGGCTTGGATTTGTGGCTTGGAGCTTCATGGCGGCCCATACCAAACTTTCCTCGCTATGTCTATCACTCTTCTCGGGCCATGGGATTTTTTTGATCGGAGAAAAAACTGAACACGACGTTTTGCTGAGGAAACATGAACAAAGCTACACCAACTGGCTGCTTTTTTTTTACATGGTCAAAGTCACCCCCTAAGTGGTGGGTGAATACTAGGGGAAATCACCGAATAACCACTTTCTGACTTTGACCACCCCGAGAAGCAAAGCCACGATCTCACTGCACCCCCATTTGATTCGAGAGCCCCCCATTTTATCAAAGCAACTGGGGGTTCTCATTTGCTAGATGTTAGCAGTTAAGTGGTTGGACTTCAACCACTACACCACAAGAAGCGAGCATGGAAGAACTGTGTCCCAACAACCGGAGGGGCACACCAGTTTTGGTCCATGCTTCCACTTACCGATGGGGCAACCAGCAACCCATTTTGGCCCGTTTCGACGGGTCTCGCGCGTCGCTGATACGCGGCCTCCTCAGCCCCAACCTCTGCGGCCTGGAGCTCTGCGGAAGCTGCTTTGGCCTCAAGCTGCTTTTTCCTTTTTCGCCGCCGGCGCGGCGGCGATCCCGCCGCGCAGGAAGACATGGGAAGTTGATCCCCGGCTTCAGGGGGTTAATAAAGGACACCAATTGGACATTTGTTTGAAAGTGGTGGTGGTTTCTTAAAATGGCTTCATGCCATTCGTTTCATGGCTTTAAAAAAGGACACCGGCACCTGGATTTCCCGAGTTGGACCCATTTGTCATGTCGCCTACTTGGAAGACCTCGAGGCGTGGCTTGAAGCTCGTAGCTTCTGATCTTGCGTTTTTTGGGGTGGGTGGGAGAGGAGAGGCGAAAAGAACACTCAACCTGATGTAGCTGCCATGTGGACGCGGCCGAAAGAAGCAAAGAGCTCCGAGGATTGAAATGCGATCGAAAGCGAAAGATTCTAGGGGTTGATTCCTTGACAATTCTTTTCAACCATCGTTCTTTTCAAGAACCAGCTGTTTTCCCATAGTTTTTGGTGGTTTTCTAGAAAGAAGGATCCCTGGGAAGAATGGGGAAGCTACCCTTAGAAACATGCATGATTCACTGACTCAACAGGAGCTGGAACTATACAATTCGACTAGGTCCTCCAGTAGAGAGGTTAGAATAAGGGTACCAACTTTTTTCTGTTTAGTCTATTTTAGTAGGGGGACCCTCCCCCCAAAAATGGCACAAGGGCACTACTGGGGGACCTAGACGAGTCGAAACAAAAACGTTCCGCCAAAGGGCAGGTTTGCGCAAGTGAGAGCAAACCCTGGATGCCTTAAGCTTGGGCCACGTCTCTTGGACCCCGCGGTTTTCTTGGCCAAGAAAGAAGGCCGCGCTTGAACTATCCCCATTTCCCACCCTTTAAGAACCCCTGCAAAGGTAATCCACCAACCTAGGCGATAATAGACAAAGGAACACCACACATGACATGTCGTCAACGTGCTTGAATCGACCGTGTCCAAAAACCAAAATATTGGAATTGTTGTTGGTTGTCGTTGTCCGGTGGCTGCTTACTCACACTTCAAGCTTGAACTAACCCAGAGATTGAGACGGAAGTCTTAGTCTGCTTGAGCCTCAAAACCACCCCCCCACAGTCTCCGTTTCCGTTTCCCTCACGACACACTTTCGTATCAGGATTCGACTCCTGGGGCGGTCGCATGCTCTCAGGGAGTTTTGAGGGCACCGAAGTCATCCAAGAACTCACCAAGTACTGGGTCCCCCAAAGGCGATGTTTAAAACCACAAACTTGAAAGGGGAAGCCATAGAAATCGACCCCTGTTTGAATGCCCTTGACATATGTGGATATGAACTTGAGCAACTACCCTCCCAATGGTTGGACCTGATTTTTCAAAATGCTGTCCTTCCAAGGGCTCCTAACCCTCCATTTGCTTTTTCGTCCAAGAAAACTAAGCATAACCCCAGCCGTGAAATCGATTCCCTTTCAAACCGCGAGGCCCAATAAAACGTATGCTGGGTATGGGCCACAAAGGAATTCACCCGGGCAAGCCATTTTGGGGTTACCCGATTCTTGACCAGCCATAGTCATGCACGCCCTCCAACTACCCTCTTTTTTGGTTGGTATGTTTGGAAGAATCGGTTTCCTGGGGGAAAAAACTGATCCCTTTAGTGGGTCGCCAACTCCCACCAACTAAAAAAAGGCGACAGGGTCTTGGGTGACGATGCCAAAAGGAAAGCCATCAGAAGGGTCCGCCAAGTTCGAGAAACACCCAATCGAATTGCAGATGACGCTAAACATCTCTACCTGGAGTCTCCCTAAGGACCCCTAAAAAAAGGTTGGTCATTACCCAAAAATAATGGGGTCATGGACCCATTTTTAAAGGGTCATGGAGACTCCAGGTAAACATCTCTAAATTCCCACGGGCCAAAAAGTTCCAAAGTAGTGGGCGCCCGGCTGCCTCTTTCTTTCTTTGTCTTTGCCTCTTTCGGCGCTCCTGGCACCGAAGGGCGAGTGGACGGGAGTGGACGTTGGGACGTTGGGACCAACCGATTTGCTGCCCTGTGAGTTGATGTTTTGTCTCCGTTGACATTATCTTTCAAACGGTTCATCAAGACCATTTTGGCGGTACACAACAAGTTTGGCGACATCAGGCCTTTTTCACTTGATCGGAAAAATATATTTGCAGCAGTTCAACACGGAGGGCAAACCACGCTTGGATTCCAGACAATTACGGGGAGACCCCTAAGCCGGTGCCGGTTTGCTTTTGGTTTCCCTTGGAATCACATCCGACACGGCATTCTCCCCAAGAAGCAGCCATCCAAAAAAGAGGATCAGAATCACTCAATCACAGGTGTCTGTCCTGTTTTGGGAGGCTAGCCTGTTGGTGGTTGCTTTGCAGGAAAATTCAAGGGACCCTTGGGGTTCGGATTTTGTGATAAGCCATAGGCCAGCCCGGGCCAAAAGTTGGAGCTCTCGTCTCGTTGGAATACGACTTGCAGTCGTTGGGGCCCACTTTGTCCATCGGGGTCGCCTTCCAGACCTTTGTGCCGCCACTCGGTCCTCCAGTAGAGGGTTAGACGAGTACCGTTTTCTTTTCTGTCCATTTTAGTAGGGGAACCGAATCTCCCCCAGAAAAGTTTGTCAAAGGGCACCTGGGGGACCTAAACGATGTAGCTCGGGTCATTTTGACGATTCACTGCACCAGGGACATTGGTTCCAAAAGGCGATGCTCTCACAAAGCATGAAGCACTTTGCTTCCATGTGCTTTGATTGATCATGTTCTTTGGGTCGAACCCACTGGAGGAACCCACTGTGGCTGAAACCCAAAGGACAGACGTCTTGCAAATGTGACCTGAGGCCCAGCGGAGCCCTAAATCCTACCCAGATAGGTAATTCGACCCCATATCCAGTGGAGAGGTTAGAATAAGTACCAACTTTTTTTTCTTCCCCCTTTTCCTGTCTAGGGGGAACCCTCCCAACCAAAAAAGAGCTCCAAGGGCACCTCACGTAGGTTTCCCTGTAAAGGTGAGCCTTTGCATCCTTTGGGCAACTTGGCAATCTCCCGTCATGCAACCCAAAGCTCTCAACGCTGAGAAAGGGCCCATTCAAGTGACACATTCCCAAAACGGTCGCTTTTCATTGTTCTGAGTGTGCCCCAATCATTTCCACATCGAAAGGGGAGAGAGTGTTGAGACACCCCCCGTTTCCTGGATGCTTCCGGGGAAAAAACAACACGGGTTTCGGCACCCTTGTTGGTTGAACAACTCTCCCAAAAACGGGCGAGCCAAAGGGGCTGGCGAAACTTCGACCCCCGACTCCAAATACCAACTTTTCTTAGGGCATCATGTCTACCCTCTACTAAAAAAGGAGGTATTTACCATGGAAAACCAGGTTTTCCAAAAGATGCCCTAGCAAAAATGGGTATTTTGGAGGTTACTGGGGTAGCTTCAAAACGCGCCGCGTCGTTCGGCTGGGCCTTGGTGCCGTTTCCCTGCTCCAGCGGAAGTGCTCCGCCCTTCTTGCCCTGCGAGCGGCACCGCCGCGGCGAAGCTTCGGTCGAAACGCCATCCCCAGAACCTTTTTAGCTCTGTGTTTACATTTCACCCACTAAAAGTTACACTTTTGCAGATCTGAAAAGGGACAGCCCAGTTGAGTTCTCAAACTTTTGGAGATTTCCTTCAAGCAGGGTAAGCCCAAGTTTCATCCTCGAGCGCTCCAATGGCCCTGATTGTTTTTTGGCTGACATATGTTGGGCTTTCCCTTGAACCCACAAAACCTGTCTCATAAACTTGTAAAATTGAAGAGGTGTTGTTACAGCAGCCGAGCCTTGGTTTGTTCCGAACCCGAAGCCTCCAGATCGATCCGTCGCCTTCTGCAAAAAGGTCAGCCAGCCACGGGTTTTTGGAGCTGAAGTTGAGACAAGCGAGCTGTTTGTTGGCTTTGAGGGGTGCAAGTTGGCCCTTTGACTTCTTTCTTTTGGAACGTGTTTGGCGGCAAAAATGAGGAAACGGGGGTCCCCCCAAAAGAGACTCATCTAATCATAATGTTGGTTCCATGTCGATCTGCAGGACTGTTGCAGTGATAGGAAGACGCCAGAAGCCTAGTTTGACACTCCCCCCAACGCGCCCCATGAATGAAGCCTAGTGGGTGAGATGTGTTTCCGCTTGGGTCGTTTTTTGGGGACAACGCGAAGCTGTGGTTTACTTCCCTTAAACATCACCAAAGAAGGGGTACCCTCAAAAACTAGACCCCTATTGTGACATTGTGGTTTTCGACGCAAGCCCGGCGCTGTGCAAAGCAGAGCTGGGCAGAGCAGAACTGCGCGCAGCAGAGCCTGCTTTGTTGAGATGCGCTGCGCAGCGAATCTATGTTGAGATGTGCTGTGAAGCCAAGCCATGCGGACTCCGCTGTGAAGCAAAGCTATGTTGAGATGCGCTGTGAAGCAAGGCTATGTTAAGATGTGCTGTTAGGCAAGGCGATGTTCAGATGTGCTGTGTAGCAAAGCCGTGCTGAAATGTCTGCGAGCCGGAGATGCAGAAGTGTACTTCGCGTGTTACTGTCGTACCCTCGGGGGCGGGATCTCCGCAGAGGGCTTTTCGGCCAGCAGCAAAACTTGCACGGCGCCGCAGCGAGTGCGATCGGACGCACGATCCGCGCAGAGGGTTCGTCGGCCACGCAGAAAACTTGCACGGCACCACAGCGCGAGCGCTTCGACACGCACGAGACCCGCAGAGGGTTCTCCCGCCAGTGCTGGCCAGACCCACCCTCAGCCAAAACAGTGACCCCATCGAAAGCTGAGGCTTGACGAGGGTTGAGTCGGTCTCCGTCCTGTTGGTGCTCGGTCAAAACACGCCAGTCAGGTGAAGGGGAAAGCCCATTTTAAGGGTTCCCTCATTTAGAGCACCCACTACCCCATCTACACGGAAAATGAATGGGACTTGGTCTTCTGCAAGCGCAGCCGCTTCTGTTGGCAAAGCCAGCTGGTGGACACCGAGCTTTCCGCAACCCCAGACAGTTGCGGTCAGTTTCTTGCTGGCTTCCCGAGAGTCTCGAGAGTACCTAAACCTTGAACGAAGCATCGACTTTTTTTTTTTCTTCTTCTTCGGTTTCCGCACCTCAATAACAATCCAACCGTGGAAATCGCCTGTTGCTCGATTCATTCAGCAAACTTCTTTGAGCGCCAGAATTGCGCCGTGCAAAAACCTATAGGCTGCTTCATAGACCCAACTGCTCGTGCAGTGGGCTGCTGTGTCCGCAATTCGCTGGATCACCCCAGGTCACAACAGCCCTAGATTGTCGTTTGCTTGGACATGCGAGACATTTCTCAGCTGCTCTTGCACCCGGCTGCAGTCTCCGCCAAAGTTTGGAAGACCCCAGGTCACAACAGCCCCAGATTCAAGAATGGCAGCAAAAGCACCGGTAGTTGCTTGGATGTGCTGGACGTTCCTCAGCTGCTCTTGCACCTGGCTGCTGTCTCCGCCAAAGTTTGGATCGCCCCAGGTCACAACAGAACCAGATTCAAGAATGGCAGCAAAAGCACCCACGCCATTTGCTTGGATGTGCTGGACCCTCAGCTGCTCCTGCACCTGGCTGCTGTCTCCGCTGAATTCAGGATCACCCCAGGTCACAACAGAGCCAGATTCAAGAATGGCAGCAAAAGCTGCGCCGGTTGCTTGGATGTTCCGGACGTTTCTCAGCTGCTCTTTCACCTGGCTACTGTCTCCACCGTATGCTGCCTGATGGCCCCAGGTCACGACAGCCCCAGACTCCAGAATGGCAGCAAAAGCAAAGCGAGTTGCTTGGATGTGCTGGACGTCCCTCAGCTGCTCTCGCACCTGGCTGCTGTCTCCGCCAAGTTCTGGATCACCCCAGGTCACAACAGCACCAGATTCAAGAATGGCAGCAAAAGCCCGCTCAGTCGCTTGGATGCGCTTGACGTTCCTCAGCTGCTCCTGCACCTGGCTGCTGTCTCCGCCGTATCCTGGATCACCCCAGGTCACAACAGCCCCAGATTGAAGAATAGCTGCAAAAGCAGCCGCAGTTGCTTGGATGTGCTGGACATTCCTCAGCTGCTCCTGCACCTGGCTGCTGTCTCCCCCGAGTTTAGGATCACCCCAGGTCACAACAGAGCCAGATTCAAGAATGGCAGCAAAAGCACCTTCAGTTGCCTGGATGTGCTGCACGTTCCTCAGCTGCTCTTGCACCTGGCTGCTGTCTCCGCCAAGTTGTAGACCACCCCACGTCACAACAGCCCCAGATTCAAGAATGGCAGCAAAAGCACCGCGTGCTGCTTGGATGCACTTGACGTTCCTCAGCTGCTCTTGCACGTGGCTGCTGTCTCCCCCCCAGTATGGATGGCCCCAAGTCACAACAGCCCCAGATTCAAGAAGGGCAGCAAAAGCCCAGTCGGTTGCTTGGACATGCTGGACGTTCCTCAGCTGCTCTTGCACCAGGCGGCTGTTTCCGCCGGAGTCTGGATCACCCCAGGTCACAACCTCGCCCTCGTGGCCTTGCAAAGCAAACGCCTTTTGAGTGGCAGCCAGTTTGCTAAGCTGCACAATCGCAGTCACCACGTCTCCATCTCGCAAGCCGGCGTCATCCAGCGTGGCCGTCAAATCGAGCTGCTGGCCTTTCGCAGTGAGCTTTAAGGGGCGCTGGAAATGATGCTGCGCTGCAACCTTCAGCTCGCTGACGGGCGTGTCCGGTGAGACTGCTATGGAGCAACCATCTCCATTGGCCAAGTGAACGTTCACCTGCATTTCGCCGAAGCTGGGTGCATTCACCTTGCCAACCGCGAGCTGGCGGCAAAGGAAGACCTCTCTCACGGCTTCACCCGCTGCCCGCTTTTTCCCTTGAGATGATCCCCCCCGCCAGGGTCAGTTCCAGATTTTGAAGCTGGAAGAACTGCCAGCTACTTCCACCCAAGACGGTTCAGCCACTCCGTCGACATTTGGATCGGATCTGGATCCCAGAGCCAGCGGTTCCACGCACAAGATCCTTGCGCTTTCTTAGAATCAAGGCACATCAACAGGTCCTCCAGTTTTGGAGGCTAGAATAAGGGTACCAACCTCTTGTGTGTAGTCTATTTTAGTAGGGGAACCTTCTCCCAACCAAAAAACGGGCGAGAAAAAGCGCACCTAGCTGACAAGCCGAAGGCCATTTTTTCTTTCGGGGTCCTATATGTTCTCAATCTTCTGGGCTTCATCGGACATCCATAAAAGGACCGCCTGACCAATTTTCAAGGTCGTTTTTTGTGACCGCCCACCCAAACAAAAAAACCCTGGCTGGGCCTATGTGAAGAATGTTGGATGCGTCCATGGATATCACTTCGTAGACCTCTTCTTTCGTGCTTCCCTTTTCGGGGTTGCTTTTAAGAGCTCCCGAAAAACGCCAAAATGGTGATTTTGAGGCGGCCAAAATGCGATTCGGATTCGGAGCTTAGGGGCCAAGCCTTCTTTTTGCGTCAGATTTTACGGGTTTCTTCCTTTACCCATGCCTGGCTCCCGGCGCTCTCGGGCTTAAGGGTTCCTTTTCGGGCTTGCTTCTGGTTACGTGAAACTCGTGGATCCCTAAGCGGTTCTGAAAGAACCACCGCACACTTTTCAGATTCGTCCCAAACCCTGCAAAAAAAAAACAGGGTTGGTGCAAAACCCACAAAGCCACACCGTCCCTTTCTGGCGAGGGGGGTGCCTTTCTGCTTTTTATCCCACCCACGCGTGTTTTTCCACAGTCGCCTGACTCGCAGAAAAAGAGAACTTCGCGGCCTGATCCATCCGCACCCGTCGGATCGGCGCGGAAAAACATCGCGCCCCGCGCCTTTTGCTCCTTGTCCTCCAAGGCTAAAAGCTCCTGGGAGTTGATCCAAAGGCCACCAGAAGATTCGCGGGGGTGGATCAAAGGCATGCAGATGGCCACCAGGGAAGGCACCAAAAAAACGATGTTCGACTTTCACAGGGGCGATCTGCCGAAGTCTGAGCTGCTTCGCTGGGAAGCCGGGGGGTTAACGGCCCATGCGAATTGGAATGCTTATAGTTCCCTTCTGGCTGCGAGCTCATGCTTCAACACATTCCCGCTTTGAGGGCTGGGCAGGTTGTGCTCAACGGTCGGAACCCCAAATCAAAGACCACCGCACCTCTTCTCAAGCCCCTCTTGAACCCTTGCAGCGCTCCCACCGATTCACTGAATGTTAACCTTGGTCGACGTTGCAAGGGGAGCAAACATGTAAACTTTGGAAGTTACGTGGTTGGAGTGCTTTTCACAACGGCACTGGTGGGCAGCTGGTCAAAACTGAACAAATGTCGGCGTTGCGTTTTGAACAACGCTACAGCAACCATATGCAACCCGATGCGTGCACCTACAGAGCTCTACACTGTGGAGAAGAAACACATGGGGCGGCATCATGTCTGTGTGTGTGTGTGTTATTTTTTTTGAAGTATTCTGTCCAGAAGTTCGAGGAGTCGAGGGATTTTGATGCTGAACATGGCACCGTGCCCATACCATCTTCAAATGCGAACGATCCACGAAAACCACAGAACCTACCCCGTCTACTACCCCGTACTCCAAATACCCACTGTTTTTTAGGGTATTTGTTGGAAAACCTGGTTTTCCAAGGTAAATACCGATCCCTTTTTTAGTAGAGGGCCGACATGATACCAACTAAAACAAGGCCGGGTATTGGGTGTAGGGAACATGGAACCTGAAGGCTTGGAAGACCAACCTTGTGGCCCATTCCCGAAGCCGGACCGAACTCCATCCGGGGATTTCGAGAAGAGCCGAAGATGCCAGATGGAAAGCAAAAGAAGCTGTCCTGCTTGTTGTGAGCCTAAACATGGGAAGCTGAACCAACTTCAAGAAACCAACAAAAAAATGGCAACAGTGAAGGTATGCCAGCTTCTTTTCTTTCTCTCAACGTGTCATTCTTTAACGCTGAGGTGTGTCCTTTGCTGGAGTTGGTACCCCGCTTTTGTGGGTTTCCCAAATGAGACAGGAAGACCCATTTTGGGGGTCCGCATCCCATCTATACTTTTTCGGAGGGTCATTCAGAGCGAGTGGCTCATTCCCGCCCGTTAAAACCCTGAAGGACTCGCGGGGTTTGCGGTTGCAATTCGAGAAGCATTTTGTTTTTGCCACTTGTCTGTGGGTCAAACATTGGGCAACCCCACAATGGCTTGCCCGATCTATTTGCACAAACAACATGTATTTGCACAAACAACACGTATTTGCTCTATTTGCACACCAAACACGAACAGACACGGAAAAACACGTGCTTCTTCAAATGGAACACAAGACGATTTAAGCTGCGGTCCAATCCCTGGTGGCTTCCTTTTCACCCATACCCACTTCACTCCGCATAGGAACCGCTGAAGGCTTCGGGCGCCATGGCCGTCCCTTTGCTTCCCGGGAGGGAAACCACCCGAAAAAACCGAGTCGGGTTCCTTATCGGTGCGTTGGATCGGGGGCCCTGAGGGCTTCCTTTCGCGGAGCCTTGGGTTACTCCAACTACCCGGCCGGTTTTTTAGTTGGTATTTTTTGGGACACCGGTCTCGGTCTTCCATAGTAAATGCCGATCCCTTTTTTAGAAGAGGGTCGACATGAAACCAACTAAGACAAGTGGGTGTTGGGTCGGGGTTCTTTCCAGACCTATCGCAGCAAGTCATAGCCATTTAAGCACCGGTCTCGAAGGGCTTAACTCCCGACCACCTGACAGGGGGACGGCATTGACTCGCCAGCCATGAGCTCCCATCCCCACTCCGAACCTTGGATCCATCAAATATTGGCTTCGGAATTCCTCGCCCCCCACTCCAAATACCCGCTTTTTTCAGGGTATGATGTCGAGCCTCTACTAAAAAAGGGATCGGTATTTACCATGGAAAACCAGGTTGTTCCAAAAATGCCCTAGAAAAAGTGGGTATTTGGAGTAGGGGGTTGGTTTGGGAGTGACCAAGGCTTGCCTCAAACAGTTGATCTGGGGTAAAAGATCGAAGACACCCGAATTTTCATGAGGCCAGGCTCAAACCCCAGACCGAACCTCATATCCAGGGTCCAAAACTGTCCACCCAGAACTATCAACGTCCCGCAATCTCATGTAGGTTCTTTGGGTTTTTGGGGTGTCTCATAATGCGACCCCCAGCATGGAAAAATCGGGTTCCCCCTTTGGTTTCTCCTTTAAACCAACCCTAAAAGGGGTGCCCGGCGAACCCATTTGCAATCTGAGATCCGCTGAAAATGAAAGAGCTACCCCCTGCTCCAAATACCCACTCTTTTTAGGGTATCATGTAAGCCCTCTACTAAAAAAGGGATCGGTATTTACCATGGAAAACCGAGACCGGTTTTCCAAAAAATGCCAACTGAAAAAAGGCCGGGTATTTGGAGGTTACGGGGGCAGGGTTACGCTGAGATCTTTGGTTCCGCCAAGGTGCCATTCCCCTCGCCTCAAAAACACCGAAGCCAGCTGGGCTGTCTCTTTGGAGTGTGCCCCCTGGTTGGCCTAAAGGACACCCAACTTGGTGGGTTGGTTTAGGAGCCAGAACGAAATCATCCCATTTTTCTTTTGTTTGGGGGGGGGTTTGGTTGGTTGGTTGGTTTAGGGCACCAGAATGCAATCATCCCTAGGCTGGAATTGCAACAAGTTCTCCTTTTTGCCTGGTGAGTGGAAAACAAAAACAGACCCCCCAAAAAGCGCGAAACAAACAACCAGGGGAGCTTCCGGGGGAGCTACAACCCCCGTCCCATCCGTCCCGTCCCGGGGCGCCCGGCCATGGCTGCGCGCAGCGACGCCTGACGAGCAGCTTCACGCTCCTCTGCGCCGTGCCTGGCCGGGGGCAAAAGAGACCTCGGCCCTGGGGTTTGCCGAATTCAGCCCCAGGGGGCAAAACGAACAGGCGGAAACGCTGAGCTTTGGGTCACCAGGCCGCCCCCCACTCTCTTCCTAAGCCTTTCTTCAGCCGACCCGCGCAACCTCCAAATACCCACCTTTTGGTGGTTGGCATATTTTGAAAAACCTGGGTTTCCATGGTAAACACCTCTTTTTGCAGAGGGTCGACATAATAAAAAAAGGAGGGTATTGGGTGTAAGGGGTATGGGTTTGCAAGCAACTGACGGTTTTTTGCCAGCCCGCAAGAAAATGCGCAGAAAAAAAAAAACACCCTTACACCCAATACCCGGCCTTTGTTTAGTTGGTATGATTTGTCGACCCTCTACTAGAAAAAGGAGGTATTTACCTTGAAAAACCGATCGATTTTCAAAAAATGCCAACAGTTGGTATTTGGAGGTTACGGGGGCATAAATAAAATACAACTTGCCTGTTTTGCAGCCCCACTACAAATGATCAGAACCAAACAACCCACAAAAACCAACTTGCCATGAGTCCAAAGTAGACCCCCCCTTCAGTACCGGGTCCCTTTAATTACTTCCCTGGCAAACATCTGTGGTTTTCTCACCTTTTGAGACCAACCCCAATCTCCAAGTTCTTTTTTGCGGCCCAACAAAACCGAGTCGAGGTCGAAGATGCGCTCGAGAGTCGAGAATCGATGGAGCGCGAGCGCCTGCATTCCCAGAGCTGCAATAACCGGATTTCGAACACTTTGGCCATTGTGGACCTGGGCATCGCAGATTGGAGATTGGTGCTGGGAAAACCCCGTTTTTTGTGTGGCCAGTTTGGGCGCTAAACACCCGGAAGCCACAAGAAAACTGGAAACTTGGACCGGTTTCCCCCCCGAATCCGGCCCATCCTAATTCCGTTCGGTCCACGGGTTCGCCCTTCACCGCCCTCGGGATTTTTGAATGTTAGATGGCGGGGCAAAAGGCACTTTTTGGAATCCTAGAAGCATAGGTGTCCTTTTGGTGCAACAGACGGGGTTTTACCGGTACACACGGAAGAAGACCCATCTAAAACCAGTGGCTTGCCCATCTCTTTCTAAGCTCACCGGTCAAAAAACCGCGCCTCCTAGAGCCCCGAGTTGGGCCATCACAAATGTCCACGGGTCAAACGCCAAATCGGTTGGCCCCAGTGAACATCCACCAATCCAACCGCTGAAATAGGTCCTAACATGGGTGAATTCACCTACCAACCAAAATGGTACCATTCCACCTACCCCAAAATGGGATCCTACTGGTTTTAAACCCACATGTCTGTCCCTGGACAAACATGACGAAGAACTTAGGCATATCCTGGAGTTTGGACCACGAACATGGTGAGGTGTCTCTTTGTCGGGATTCGGACCCCGAACACTTTTCGGTTTTGCCCTCTTTGTTCCCATTCAAACTATCTTCAAAGGGTGGGAGCCTTTGCATCCAAAAAGAGAACTCCAGACCCCCACTTGGCACAAGTTCAAAGTTTGGACAGTTAATATGTAAGTAAGATCAATTTCTGGGCAAACTAAAACCTGGGAACCGGTTAACGCGAAGTGCAACTTACAAATTGGTACTTGGGCCCTGGAAAAACAAAAACGCTTATAGGTGCCCCGTTCAGTGGACTTGACCCCCGTCACTAGTGGGAATCTTCAGCCAGATGGCGAACCTCCTAATTTGTCCAAGTACTACTCCCATGGAACGAAGTTCGGCTGTGAGCTCGTTCTGCCCCCCGATTTTGAGCTCCCAGTTGGCGCCTTTCCTTAAATGGCGCGTAACACAAACAACGAGAGACCGAGAACTCCCGGTAGCTTCGGGTACCCAGGTGGTGATCGGCTGGGATGTGGATTTGAACCCCTCATGGCTTCACAACCCAAACAGTATGGGCTTGCAAAATCGAGTCCGGTTTTCCCGAAAGCACGGCGAAGGGTTCTTCCGCTGGGTTCACTTGAGTTGTTCTCATGAGAGTCATTACAAGGTGTCATTGCAAGAAATCATCATCATGAAAGTCAATGCAAGGAGTCATTGCAATTGCTAGGAGTCATTGCAAGGAGTCATTGCAAGGAGTCATTGCAAGGAGTCATTGCAAGGAGTCATTGCAAGGAGTCAAGGAGTCATTGCAGGAGTCATTGCAAGGAGTCATTGCTAGGAGTCATTGCAAGGAGTCATTGCAAGGAGTCATTGCAAGGAGTCATTGCAAGGAGTCATTGCAAGGAGTCATTGCAAGGAGTCATTGCAAGGAGTCATTGCAAGGAGTCATTGCAAGGAGTCATTGCAAGGAGTCATTGCAAGGAGTCATTGCAAGGGAGTCATTGCAAGGAGTCATTGCAAGGAGTCATTGCAAGGAGTCATTGCAAGGAGTCATTGCAAGGAGTCATTGCAAGGAGTCATTGCAAGGAGTCATTGCAAGGAGTCATTGCAAGGAGTCATTGCAAGGAGTCATTGCAAGGAGTCATTGCAAGGAGTCATTGCAAGGAGTCTGCAAGGAGTCATTGCAAGGAGTCATTGCAAGGAGTCATTGCAAGGAGTCATTGCAAGGAGTCATTGCAAGGAGTCATTGCAAGGAGTCATTGCAAGGAGTCATTGCAAGGAGTCATTGCAAGGAGTCATTGCAAGGAGTCATTGCAAGGAGTGCAGTGCAAGGAGTCATTGCAAGGAGTGCAAGTGCAAGGAGTCAAGTGAGAGTGCAAGTTGCAAGCAAGTGCGTAAGGAGTCAAGTGCAAGTTGCAAGTGCAAGGAGTCAAGTGCAATTGACTTGCGAGGAGTTAAAATCTCTTCTTAGGGCGGCGGGGTAGTGCCGACGACACTACACGAAAATCGACCCTCTGCGGGGATCGGCGTGGTCGAGGTGCAAAAACCCATGGTTTTTTGCGATTTCTAACTGCTCGCGCGACCCTCTGCGGGGATCGGCGTGGTCGAGGTGCAAAAACCCATGGTTTTTTGCGATTTCCAACATGCCCGCGCGACCCTCTGCGGGGATCGGCGTGGTCGAGGTGCAAAAACCCATGGTTTTTTGCGATTTCTGCGGTGCTCGCGCGACCCTCTGCGGGGATAAAAACTCGAGGTTTTTTGTGATTTCTGCGGAGCTCGCGCGACCCTCTGCGGGAATCGGCGTGGGCGAGGTTCAAGAAACCCATGGTTTTTTGCGATTTCTGTGGTGCCCGCGCAACCCTCTGCGGGGATCGGCATGGTCGAGGTGCAAAATTTTGCGACTTTTGTTCGAACTGGTCCTCGGGAGTTGTCTCGTGGTTCGCGCGCCTGCTCCCGGGCCGGCGGGTCGCGGGTTCGATTCCTCCCTGGTCCGCGGGCGGGCGTCGCAAGATGCAACTTGCATTTTAAAGCAACTTGCGCAGAGCAAGCAAGTTGCACAGAGCAACTTGCGCAGACCAACTTGCACCGACCAGTTTGCGCAGAGCGCCTTGCCTGGAGCAACTTGCGCAGAGCAACTTACGCAGAGCAACTTGCACAGAGCAACTTGCACAGAGCAGCTTGCACAGAGCAACTTGCAGGGAGCGCAATTTGCACAGAGCAACTTGCAGGGAGCCACTTGCAGGGACCAACTTGCCGGAGCAACTTGCGCGGAGCAACTTGCGCAGAGCAACTTGCACAGTGCAACTTGCGTAGAGCAACTTGCGCAGACCAACTTGCACCGACCAGTTTGCGCAGAGCACCTTGCCTGGTGCTGTCTCGCGCTTGCTTCACGAATGCTTTGCGGAGGGAAAAAGAACGCATCCTGCAGCGCTGGGCCGACCTCGCTTGCGATGTTATGCTTTCGGGCCAACCGTGGTCTAGTTTGCAGCCCCAAACCCAAAAATGAACAGAACCCAAAAGCCAAAAAAAACAAAACACTTGATCCAAGAACAGTGAAGGTGGATACCTACCGGCGTCACCAAGCTCAGCTTGTATCCGAGTCAGGCGCACGAAGGCTCCCCGAAAAAAGAAAGCAACCTTCTGCCAGCAAACTAGGGTGCACCAAAATCCGAATATCTATGCCTGCCCTGAAAAACCACTCAGATTTCGGTGTACTGCTTGGCAGGCGTGCTCACTTGCGGATTCACGGGTGAGATGAAGCCTATTGACATGGACCCCCAGAAGGGCCCATGACTTCAGAAACGATGGCACCCTCTAAAATTGGGGTCATGACCAACCATTATTTTGGGTAATGACCAACCATTTTCAAAGGGTCATGGAGACTCCAGGAATTCGTGTTTAAAAGTTTTCAGACACTTGCCCGCTTGCTCTGAGGGCCAATGTCCTCAAAGCATGCGCTTCGTTGCATCCCTTACAGGGTGACAGTTGGAAAGGAAGTCCGAGCAAATGTAGGCGACAGAAGCTGCTCTCTCTCTCTCTCTCGCTGTCTGTCTGTCTGTCTGTCTGTCTGGCTGGCTGGCTGGCTGTCTGTCTGTCTGTCTGTCTGGCTGTCTGTCTGTCTGTCTGTCTGTCTGGCTGGCTGGCTGGCTGTCTGTCTGTCTGTCTGTCTGGCTGTCTGTCTGTCTGTCTGTCTGTCTGGCTGGCTGGCTGGCTGTCTGTCTGTCTGTCTGTCTGGCTGTCTGTCTGTCTGTCTGTCTGTCTGGCTGGCTGGCTGGCTGTCTGTCTGTCTGTCTGTCTGGCTGTCTGTCTGTCTGTCTGTCTGTCTGGCTGGCTGGCTGGCTGTCTGTCTGTCTGTCTGTCTGGCTGTCTGTCTGTCTGTCTGTCTGTCTGGCTGGCTGGCTGGCTGTCTGTCTGTCTGTCTGTCTGTCTGGCTGGCTGGCTGGCTGTCTGTCTGTCTGTCTGTCTGGCTGTCTGTCTGTCTGTCTGTCTGTCTGGCTGGCTGGCTGGCTGTCTGTCTGTCTGTCTGTCTGGCTGTCTGTCTGTCTGTCTGTCTGTCTGGCTGGCTGGCTGGCTGTCTGTCTGTCTGTCTGTCTGGCTGGCTGGCTGTCTGTCTGTCTGTCTGTCTGTCTGGCTGGCTGGCTGTCTGTCTGTCTGTCTGTCTGTCTGTCTGCTCTGTCTGTCTGTCTGTCTGTCTGCTGGCTGGCTGGCTGCTGTCTGTCTGTCTGTCTGTCTGTCTGTCTGGCTGGCTGGCTGGCTGTCTGTCTGTCTCTGTCTGTCTGGCTGGCTGGCTGTCTGTCTATCTGTCTGTCTGGCTGTCTGTCTGTCTGTCTGTCTGTCTGGCTGGCTGGCTGGCTGTCTGTCTGTCTGTCTGTCTGGCTGGCTGGCTGGCTGGCTGGCTGGCTGGCTGGCTGTCTGTCTGTCTGGCTGTCTGTCTGGCTGGCTGGCTGGCTGGCTGGCTGGCTGTCTGTCTGTCTGTCTGGCTGGCTGGCTGGCTGGCTGTCTGTCTGTCTGTCTGTCTGGCTGTCTGTCTGTCTGTCTGTCTGGCTGGCTGGCTGGCTGGCTGTCTGTCTGTCTGTCTGTCTGGCTGGCTGGCTGTCTGTCTGGCTGTCTGTCTGTCTGTCTGTCTGGCTGTCTGTCTGTCTGGCTGGCTGGCTGGCTGTCTGTCTGTCTGTCTGTCTGGCTGGCTGGCTGGCTGTCTGTCTGTCTGTCTGTCTGGCTGTCTGTCTGGCTGTCTGTCTGGCTGGCTGGCTGGCTGGCTGGCTGGCTGGCTGGCTGGCTGTCTGTCTGTCTGTCTGGCTGGCTGGCTGGCTGTCTGTCTGTCTGTCTGTCTGGCTGTCTGTCTGTCTGTCTGTCTGGCTGGCTGGCTGGCTGTCTGTCTGTCTGTCTGTCTGGCTGGCTGTCTGTCTGTCTGTCTGTCTGGCTGGCTGGCTGGCTGTCTGTCTGTCTGTCTGGCTGGCTGGCTGGCTGGCTGGCTGGCTGGCTGGCTGGTCTGTCTCTGTCTGTCTGGCTCTGTCTGGCTGGCTGGCTGTCTGTCTGGCTGTCTGTCTGTCTGTCTGTCTGGCTGTCTGTCTGTCTGGCTGGCTGGCTGGCTGTCTGTCTGTCTGTCTGTCTGGCTGGCTGGCTGGCTGTCTGTCTGTCTGTCTGTCTGGCTGTCTGTCTGGCTGTCTGTCTGGCTGGCTGGCTGGCTGGCTGGCTGGCTGGCTGGCTGGCTGTCTGTCTGTCTGTCTGGCTGGCTGGCTGGCTGTCTGTCTGTCTGTCTGTCTGGCTGTCTGTCTGTCTGTCTGTCTGGCTGGCTGGCTGGCTGTCTGTCTGTCTGTCTGTCTGGCTGGCTGTCTGTCTGTCTGTCTGTCTGGCTGGCTGGCTGGCTGTCTGTCTGTCTGTCTGGCTGGCTGGCTGGCTGGCTGGCTGGCTGGCTGGCTGTCTGTCTGTCTGGCTGTCTGTCTGGCTGGCTGGCTGGCTGGCTGGCTGGCTGGCTGTCTGTCTGTCTGTCTGGCTGGCTGGCTGGCTGGCTGTCTGTCTGTCTGTCTGGCTGTCTGTCTGTCTGTCTGTCTGGCTGGCTGGCTGGCTGTCTGTCTGTCTGTCTTTCTGTCCTGTCTGTCTGGCTGGATGGGCTGGCTGGCTGCTGGGCTGGCGGCGACGCTGCCGGCCTGTCCTGTCTGCTGGCTGGCGGGCTGCTGCTGGCGGGTCTGCCTGTCTGTCGGTCTGTCTGTCTGTCTGGCGGGCTGGGCTAGGCTGGCTGTTTGCTGTCTGTCTGTCTGTCCTGTCCTGTCTTCTGCTGTCTTGGCTGGCTGCTGGCTGGCTGTCTGTCTGGCTGTCTGTCGGCAGGCTGGCCTGCTGGCTGCTGGCTGGCTGCTGCTGTCCTGTCTGGTCTGTCTGTCTGGCTGGCTGGCTGGCTGGCTGCTGGCTTCGGGCTGGCTGGCTGTCCTGTCTGTCTGTCTGTCCGTCCTGTCCTGTCGGCTGGCTGGCTGGCTGCTGTCTGGCTGTCGTTCTGTCTGTCTGTCTGTCGTCTGTCTGCTGGCTGTCTGTCCTGTCTTCTGCTGGCTGGCTGGGGCTGGCTGGCCTGGCTGTCCTGTCTGTCATGTCTGTCCTTCTGTCTGTCTGTCTCTGCTGGCTGGCTGGCTGGCTGCTGTCTGTCCTGTCTGTCTGTCTGTCTGTCTGGGCGGCTGCTGGCTGGCTGGGCTGCTGGCTGGCTGGCTGTCTGTCTGTCTGTCTGTCCTGTCTGTCCCTGCTGCTGGCTGTGTCTGGCTGGCTGTCTGTCTGTCTGTCTGTCTGTCGGTCTGTCTGGCTGCTGGCGGGCTGGGCCTGGCTGGCGGCGCGGCTGCTGGCTGTCTGTCTGGCTGGCTAGGCTGGCTGGCTGGCTGGCTGGCTGTCTGTCTGTCTGTCTGTCTGTCTGTCTGTCTGGCTGGCTGGCTGGCTGGCTGGCTGTCTGTCTGTCTGTCTGTCTGTCTGGCTGGCTGGCTGGCTGGCTGGCTGGCTGGCTGGCTGGCTGGCTGTCTGTCTGTCGGTCTGTCTGTCTGGCTGGCTGGCTGGCTGGCTGGCTGTCTGTGTGTCTGTCTGTCTGTCTCCCTTCCATATCCTCTTCAAGTGGGTTTTCAGTATCCATGTTAGCTTTCAGGGGAGTAACCTTTCGGGGCCGTAGCTAAAATGATGATGCAAAAGGGAAAACCAAAAAGGTCAAATGGCCACAAGGTTAGCTTTGGGCAAATGAGCAACCCCATTAAATCAGCAAAGATATCAGTAAATGACACTTTACAACCCTTGGTATGGTAGCAAACAACTCTTGCTCGCCCAAAAGCAACTAAAAACTTCATCCGACAACAATAAAGGACCCCCCTACTTGGGTGCTCGATTCCCCAAGTTAGTAAGTTGTTGGTGTCCCATGTATTAACCCACGTATAAGTTCCCTGCTCGGTGGGGTGAACAATCCGTTATCAGGCGGTGAAACACCCCAAATGGTGATCACTACTTACTCAACCCCTTACTCCAAATACCCGTTTTTTCTAGGGTATGACGTCGAGCCTCTACTCAAAAAGGGATCGGTATTTACCCTGTTTTTTGGTTTTCCACCCAAAAAACACCAACCAAAAAAAGGCGAATCGGTATTTGGAGGGTTACGGGGGAAGTACCAAGACGGCCCAGGGCTTATGGGGCGGGGCCAGCGCCAAGGCCCCTGCATCCACATGAGCCGCACATGTTCTCTTTCTCTGTACCTCGAGCTCGAGCTCAGGGGGGGGTTTAGGAGATACCTGGGTTCCTCACCTTTTTTGAGTGGACAAGTCCAACTAGGTCCTCCCGTCTTGGAGCTTAGAATCAGGGAACCGACTTTTTTCTGTCTATTTTAGGGGAACCCTCCCCCCCAAAAAAAGAAACGGTTTTACGGGCACCAATTGCTGGGGGACCTAAGCAAGATGGGTCCTACACAGAGCTCGGGGAGTAAGCCACAAGATCCAGCTGCCGGACTCGATTTGGGGCTGCAAATCCACCCAGCCGACTCGATTTGGGCACCTGAAGCTAGTTGTTGTGCTACGCGCTATTTGGCGATGGGTCAAAATTAGACCAGAACGCAGATTTGAGTCCTTCCTGGATCGCCAGGTGCGATCGGTTTTTGCCATGCACTGTACCCCACAAACCAGCAGTGACTGAAGAATGCGATCGCAACTTGGCTAGCTAGGTTTGTCTTTTTCCTGAGGTTGCAAAGGGACACCAAAAGGCCAACTGTTGCGCCATTTTGTGGGCATCAAAAAAAAGCAAGCCCACAATATATGGCCATGGGGCCATGGGTCAAAAGCCAAATTGTACCCCCCAGTGAACATCCCAATCCCCACTAAAATGGACTAAAATGGGTGGTGCACCCACCCCAAAATTGTACCATTGGTTTTGACCCACAGCCATATCTGCAAATTTAATTCTAATTCCAACAGCTGAATTCAGGGATCCCCAAGTGAAGGACCTTTATCAGTTTGAGCTCGCGAATCACCCCCGAATCGGTGACTCGCTACAAAATAGGCAGAACATATCCACCAAAGGTGCATTAGGCGACTCTTTGAGTCAAAATAAAAACCGGGCATTCAAATGATCTATACAGAACCATGCTTCAAGAATTAAGGCGGCAAAGGCGTCTCTTTTTGGAGTTGGTACCCCTTTTTTGTGGCACAGGGAAACCAAGAGGAAGGCCCTTGCGCCATTTTGCCCCCCCCCCCCCCCCCTCCCGACCTCCAAGCTACCAAGCCACGCCAATTCAGGGAGCCCGCAAAACATGTGCAACTATGTCCTGCGAAATCAAGTTTCTGCATAAAACACGCCAAGAGAAGAAGTACCAACTATTCTTAAACTAAAAAATGGAAGGGGAGCAACAATCTAAATTTTGCAGTTACGTGGGTGGATTTCAACCACTAAACCACAATAAGCAAACATGTAAAATGTTTCCCAACAACAACCATGTCTTGCTGGAAGTGCGCAAACCAAAAAGAAAAAAACATCCCCGTGTCACAGGACTCCCCCGAAACGAACCCGGCCGTCCGCGGAAAAGGCGCACTGCACCCACAAATCAGACCTCGGCGCAAGGGCGGGGAGTGCATCGCCGGCTGTCGGCTGCCCGTTTTCTGATCCCTCGCTCAAAGTGACTAACTTTTAGTGGGTAAATTCGGAAACTACCACTAAACACTAAAAGGCTCAAAAGCTAAGGGGATGGCTAGGTCCTCCAGTAGAGAGGATAGAACAAGGGTACCAACTTTTTTCTGTCTATTTTAGTAGGGGAACCTTCCCCCCCAAAAAAGGGTAAAACGGCACTATTGGGGGATCTAGAGGGTGTTCTTGATTCGCCAAGCGAACGGAAGTTGCAACCGTTCGAATACAACCCACTTTTCAGTCCGTGACTGTGGGGTTAACAACTTGTGGGGGAGTGAAAATGGCCGAACATCCAAGTAACTGAAGCACGAAGGCGCCTCATCTTTTGGGCGTGGCCTAAAAGGCGTGGCTTTGCGAAAATGGCCGCTTTCCCCGTAGCTTCCTTCGAACCCAAGGGGTGTCCCGCAAAAAAATAAGAAAACCGACGCGGCCGTGGCCTGCGCACTGAGCTTCCCGCCCTTCAGGAAACTCCCGCGGGTCTAAGTAGCCCATTTGCCGGCCTGCGCCGCGGGAAATGGAGACGGCACTCCGAAGAGTCGAAGCCGGCGATTCGGTTTGCTCAGCCGGCGCTGAGTGTTGGACAGCCGTTTTTTTTTTCCCCTCCCTACTGTTCTTTTTTGTTTTGTGGGCAGCCGGCAATTTTGCAGCACTCGTCGACTTGGAGAGCAACGTGTTGGCAACATCCTGGCTTTGCTGTCGCATTGTTTGGGACGATCGCGTGCCATGCCAGAACTGGGAGGCAAGTGTCACACGTGAAGCCGTGTATTTGAAGAGTACCAAACACGGGCCCACATCTGGCATTTTCGGAAAAACATATTTTCTGACCCTGTTCCATATATTGCTTCTACTCAAAAATGGGAGGAAACTGCAGCCGTGAAAAAACACAATCGGGCGTGGCTACCCTTTTTGCGTAAGCCCTGGAGGAGACCCAGGGGCAAAAAGCGCGCCTTCATGTTGTCTTCGAGCCGCGCAGAAGTCCTGAAAGAAAAGGCCGTACCCTGTGGCTGTTGCTGGTGGCATTGCAATAGTTGTAATGGTCGCAACGGTTGCTGTCATAACAGTTGTAATGGTTGAGATGGTTGTAG